TCCAGTCTTTGGTAGGGCATCAGCATGGTCCTTTGCACAGCAGGATTCTTATCCTCTGCCAGGATTCTCCTTGGCAGGTTTAACTGCTGAGAGTCACCATCTGTCAGAATGTACATGTGGACTCATCTGAAGAAAGCAAGCTTTCTTGCCAGGAATCCACGTTCTTCGTGACATGCAGTCCACATGTACATTCCTGTCCCATCTGCTTTTCCCTTCTCTCTAATTCTTTTTCAGATGCAATGCTGTGAGAGAGACTGAAATGGTGGTAGATGCACTCTCTTGTATGTCACACACGAAGCAGGAAAAGGAGAAGCAAGAGTACAGGCTCCACAGATACTGCAGAAGGGCAACCTTGCAGTATAACCTGGCAGGGCAGAGCTGTGCCTGCTATTAGAATGTACCTGTAGACTACCTGTATCATACATTGGTTACTGGTAAGTCTGGGGTTTTTTACTTGCTCAGGGTGATAGGATTGTCCTTGGGCTTCACAAATGGAGCATCATTTGGGGACTGTAGGCTAACCTGTTGCTTTTCCCAAGTTGGTGAACACACCGAGGGCTGTACATTTGTGCATGCCCAAACTGTTGCGCTTTCTTCAGTTAATAACACTTCTCTCTGCATCACTGCTTAAGTGTTACATACAGAGTTCTGATATTAGCTGAAGTTGTTACCTGTAGTAATAAGCTATTTCATCAGTTTCAATTTACCATTAAGTTTTAAACAACATTTCTTTTCATTCTTTCCTCCTGAAATGCAAAATGTGTTTCTTTGCATGACTAACTGATAGTTCTTATTGTAGAATTTGATTTCAGCCTTTTAGTTCATACATATAATATCCAGCTGCTGAGACTGTTGTTCCTGTTTGGACTTTGACCTGTATTGGAATTTGTATGGCATCTCCTCACTTGGTCACCCAAGGTTTTCATTTGAAAATCATAGAATCATAGAATCATAGAATTTTTAGGGGTTGGAATGGACCTTACAGATCATCTGGTCCCAACCCCCTGTCCTGGGCAGGGACACCTCCCACCAGACCAGGTTGCTCAAGGCTTTATCCAACCTGGCTTTCAACACTGCCAGGGCTGGAACATCCATCACCTCCTTGGGCAACCTGCTCTAGTGTTCTACCAGCAGCTCTGAGTCCATGCTGGCAGCAGAGCTGGCTTTGTCATGTTTATTTTGTATTGACCCAGGTAGACCCAGTGATTTCTTTCTTAATCTTGTGTCTTAAGTACTGAGTCAAACTCCCTTGCTCCGTCATGCCTTGGATTCAGCTGCAGCTGATGAAGGCTGTGAAGCACTGTAAGAAAAAAATATTGTATTCCTGAGCTTCATCTTTGAGAACACGAGACTAAGAGAGCTGTCTCTGACATACTCTGAGTTTGCCGTAGCTTGTAGATTATTGACACTAAAGTCATGATCTGTCAGTAGCAGAGCACTGTGTATGTCAGCTGCTGGAACATGCCAACACTGTGGTTCTGTATTCTTCCTCCCTGCAGCCAATGTGTGTGTTGTGAAGGTGGATGGGACTCCTTACCTGTGTAAAGCTGACGAAGTTGGAGAAATATGTGTGAACTCGGGAGCGACTGGGATAGCCTATTTCGGCCTCCTTGGAATCACCAAGAATGTGTTTGAGGTTTGAATTTCTTTGTTACATAAAGTGTAATTGTTAGTTTTCTAGTATTTCTTCTTGCAAATAGACTCATTTGCTCCTTAAACTTAAAAAGCCCTGGCCAGTTACACTTTTTTTTGTCCATAGAATCATAACCAGAACCTCTGTCTCTTATAACCAGATGTACCAAGTGCCAACTGCAGTCAATCAGCTGCTTGTGCCTGTGCTAGCATTTGAGTTCATCTTAACTCTGAATTAATGCAGCAGTCTTATGTGCAGTTACCTGAAGACATTTCAGTCTTTCTGCCCATATTTTTCCTTGCAGTGGTACTCCAATTTCATGTTTTCCCTTTTCCTGCAATAAAGTGAAGGTGCTTATCAGTCCTGTGAGTGTCTGCATCCTTCTGTGTTCTTCCAGGCCATCCCTGTGACAGCAGCTGGTGTGCCTGTTTCAGACCAGCCCTTCACAAGAACAGGATTGCTTGGCTTTGTGGGTCCTGTAAGTGTGAACAAGTCCTCGGGGCCCTACCTTATCCCGACTCCCAACTCTGAGTGATGCCCTGACTTGAGCAGAACGATGACTCAGGGCACCTACCTATGGATCTCTGTAATATTGTTGGCTTGAGTCAGGCATGTATTGTCAGGAGTCAGGAGGTTCTTCCGCTCTTGTGTCTAATTCTGCCTTCTTTTCAGGACTATTTGGTGTTCGTGGTAGGAAAATTGGATGGCCTGATGACAGTTAGTGGCCGCAGGCACAACGCAGATGATGTGGTAGCCACCGCATTGGCAGTGGAACCCATGAAGTTTGTTTATCGGGGAAGGTGGGTATGTTAAAAACTTCAGCAATGCTGATTGGGCTTTGCTGCTTCTTTTTTTTTACCCACAAACAATCAGCAAAGAACACAGTGTGCACAGGAGCAATGCATGTGGATTTTTACAGGTGTGTTTTTTAGGAAAGGTGGCATTAGGCTGTGATATGCCAGAAAGGACTCGGCTGTCCCTGCTAACTTGGAAGACAACCCTGCTTCATGCATAGTAGAGTTAAAATCAGTTTCACATAGTAGAAAGATAGATCTTGAAGTGTCTAAGATTTCTTTCAAAGCTTCTCTTTAGACAGTCAAATGAAGCTCATGTGCCAGATGTAAAACACCTCTGTCTCCCTTAGCCTTTTGGGCAGATTGGCCAAGAGAGGAACTATACAACATGTTCTAAAGAACAGACTAGGAGTGTTGAGGCTGCAGAATGACCCTCAGAGATCGTGTGTGTTGTAACACTAACCTTACTGCTCTTCAGTGGGTAATGACTCAATGTCTAGATAAAGATCAGTGATAAATGGGTGCCCAGGTTTCCATGTTGGGACCAGTCCAGGCTGGGAGATGAGCAGATCAAGAGCAGCCCTGCCAGGAAGGGCTTAGGGATGCTGGACATACCCAGGCCATGTGTGTTGGCAGCCCAGGAAGAAACCCCCTGTGTCCTGGGCTCATCTCCAGCAGTGTGGGCAGCAGATGAGAGGGGTATTCTGCTCCTCTCCTTCATTCAGGTGAAACCCACCTGCAGTGCTGCCTTCAGCTCTCAGGCCCCCAGCACAGGAAGGACTTGGACTTGCTAGAGCAAGTCCAGAGGAGGCCACGGAGATGCTCCAAAAGCTGGAGCCCCTCTGCTATGGAGGCATGCTGAGAGTCCTGGCTGTTCAACCTGGAGAAGAGAAGGCTCCAGCAAGTCTTTCCTGCAACTTTGCAAGACCTAAAAGGGCCTTGTAAGAAAAATGGGGACAGTTTTTTTGTGAGGCCTGTCACAATAGGACAAGTACTGATGGTTTTAAACTAAAGGAGTTAGATTCAGACTAGATATAAGGAAGACATTCTTGCCTGTGAGGGTGGTGAGGCACTGGCACAGGTTGCCCAGAGAAGCTGTGGATGCCCCATCCCTGGAAATATTCAAGGTCAAATTGGGTGGGGATCTGAGCAACCTGTTGAAGATGTCCCTGCTGATTGCAGGGGAGTTAGAACTAGATGACCTTTAAAGGTCCCTTCCAACCCGAACTATTCCATGATTCTATGAAAACCAAACTTCCCTCATTTTCATAGAATCAAACAGGTTGGAAAAGACCTCCAAGATCAGCAAGTCCCACCCTACCATGGTTACTGGACCATGGCACTAAGTGCCACATCCAGTCTCATCTTCAAAACCTGCAGGGATGGTGAATCCACCACCTCCCTGGGCAGCCCATTCCAATGCCTGATCACTCTCTCCACAAAAAATCTCTTCCTAAGATCCACCCTAACCCTCCCCTGGCAGAGCTTGAGTCTGTGCCCTCTTGTCCTCCTGCTGGTTGCCTGGGAGAAGAGAGCAACTGTGCAATTAATACAGCATTAAAATAATGGCACATACCTATCCTAGCTGAGGCATTATAAATATTTTATCCTAGAAGATGCAAGGCTAAAACTAAGTAATTCCAAAAAGGGAGAGCAAGCATATGCTGGTCAGTGATTTGGCACAGTTGTCTTTCAGAAGGGACATTGTTTGTAGGTGCCACAAGTGCAGTGTGCATGGTATAGGCGAGGTTTGCACAGCCCCTGCACGTATGGAACTTGCCTGTCACACGTGTGCCACATTGGTGACTGCAAATCCACCTGACTCCCACCAGAAATCTGTGACAGCACTGAACCCACATGTGTTCTAAATTTGTCTTTGAATCTGTGATGACCTGGCATGAATAATGCTTGTGTGTGTGGATCAGTGCCGTGAGAGGTTGCAGCCATTCCCACGTGATGATAACCCATGCTCTGCTCACCGTATGTTGCATCCTATCATGATTCTGTCCTTTGTGTTTTAGGATAGCAGTGTTTTCTGTGCCCGTTTTGCATGATGATCGGATAGTGCTTGTGGCAGAGCAGCGCCCTGACGCATCAGAGGAGGATAGTTTTCAGTGGATGAGCAGGGTTCTACAGGTAGTCAGTCTGTCCTTTCTCTCTTTCCAGGTGAATAAGGCTGATATGTGAAATGAGAATATTAGAGCATCTTTGATTTTTCCATAAGCAAAACCTCTATCAGTGTAACCACAGAGAGCTGTAATAAACTGCTTTGTTTTTTCAGAGTGTATTTCAGGGTTGATAGTTTACAGAGTTTTGTAAAAAGTAAGACTTTCTTTCAGAATTATTTTTTTTTAACTCCCTACTACCAGGATTCCCAAAGTCCTAATGGTGTTGGGTTTTGTTTGGGTAATGCTACATGTCTCTTCTGATTTCATACTGAAAGGTAACTCTGAAATGTTCATGAGTGCCAAGTATCAGATCAGGCCCTGAAAGCTTTTTATGTCACTAACAACCTTATTCTATATCTCCAGCAGTAAACATTAAAGTCTTTTTCCATCTATCACTTTATTCTGTTTCCTCGGGCTTGGGGTGGCTGGAGGGAGGGGAATTGTGATAGATTTGCATTTGTGGATTCCAGAATTAATCCGTTGGCTCTAAGGAAGTAAAAATTGAGAGGGCAATTACAGAAGGCTCTGGTGAAGAGACAACTGAAGGGAAGGATAGAGAGAAAACTCAAGGGAAGTTTGCTCTCGAGAGTAAATCAGTTGGCTAATAACGGTTTCTAATTTCAGCTTTCTGATCTGTTTGGAGGGAATGTCTGGTAATAAAAAGGCTTTCTTTATGGGAGAAAATATTTTTATTTCTCTTTTTATAAGTGTCATAGCTAAAATCGACACTTCAGCTTTAGGCAGCAAAGATGCTTCCCTCCCTATTTTTGTGGTTTTATGTTCTACCGCGCTTTTGTGATTGTGCCATACATGCTAAATTTGCTGTGAATTTTGGCTTTTGAAAATCTCTGCACTTTTTGCCCACTTTTAAGAGACTTTCCTAATCCCTGATGTGCAGGTGGCATCCCCTTGATAGAGGGCACAAGCAAAGTCCTGGGTCTGCTCCTGCTCCCATTGAAGTCATGGCACAGCTTCTATGAGTTCAGTGAGTGCAGAATTGGACCCTTTATTTGCAAATTGTGGTGCAAGTAAAAATTTTCATGTTCTAAATGGCTTGAATTCAAATTCTTGCTTCAGCCACATCCCAGTTGATAATGTGGAATGTCTGTTTTTTCACTTTCTGTCAAGGCTATCGATAGCATTCACCAAGTGGGTGTCTACTGCCTTGCCTTGGTGCCAGCCAACACTTTGCCAAAGGCTCCCCTTGGAGGAATTCATATTTCAGAAACGAAGCAGCGCTTCCTGGAGGGTGCTCTGCACCCTTGTAATGTCCTGATGTGTCCCCATACCTGTGTTACTAACCTGCCCAAGCCTCGACAGAAGCAACCAGGTGAGGAAACCAGAGCATGTGCTAGTTCTGTCAGGTCTGTGTTCCATGTGGCATTTACAGTGATCTGCAGGCTGAACTGTAAGTTGTTGTGTGTTCCTCATGTTATTTTTCCTCATTTTGCACTGTTCTTTTCAGATGTTGGTCCTGCATCAATGATAGTAGGAAACCTTGTAGCTGGGAAGAGGATTGCACAAGCCTCAGGGAGAGATGTTAGCCAGCTGGAGGATAACGACCAGGCAAGAAAGGTGACACTGATGTCCTGGTAGTACAGAATACTTGATTTAGCTTATTCAGAATGAGAGAAGACCAGGTATGGTATTCTGTTGAAACAAAACCTGGGGCATTTCCAGTGACTCCAAGTGTCTCTTTTTTTCCCATTTCAGTTCCTGTATTTAGCAGACGTTCTTCAGTGGCGAGCTCAGACAACTCCAGATCATCCCCTCTTCCTTCTATTGAATTCCAAGGTGAGATGCCCTTTAGGTCGTACTGGGACATTGACATCAAAGCAAGAGATTGTTCAGATTCTAAGGGAATTGCATCTAGAAGTCTTTTCCTAAAATGCTTCAGGTTATTTTGATGAAGCAGACAAAAATTGCTAGTTAGTAAGCAGCATAATTTTTCCACTTCTGGAATTCTGTGCCATATCTTTTATTCTGAAATGTCAGTGTGCATTTCCTTCTGGAACACAACTTTTGTCTTGTTAGTGGAAGCAACAATCCTGTCATCATCCCTGAGCACAAGGGTCACCTGGAAGTCAGAGCTGGAGGATTGCTTCATTAGAAGACCTAGAGCTTAAGTACAGAACCCTTGGGACAGCTTTGGAGTCATATTTTCTAGGAGCACAGTCACATCCTTCCAGAGACACAGGTGTCTTGTCCTGGGCTAGGCTCTGTGCCCAAAAAGAATGGCACTTAGAGTGACAGGACCAGCCCAGTGACAAATTGGATCTGCCTTGTGCTGTGCTGTACTGCGCTGCAGACAGTGGGATAGGGAACCTGCTTCCAGAGGGTCCAGCAGCAGTCCTTGGGAAGTGGAGGGTTTGCCTTTGGGGTCTCACTCAGAGAGGCAAAGTGTTTTAGGATGTGGTTCAAACCTGTAATTTGTCTTATGAGACTGTGCTTTAACACAAGAAACCACTTCAACATTATTACTCTTAAAAGTCACAGAATCTATTCTCTGAGTAAAGAGGATTGTGAGGGAAGTTTTCTGGTATGAAGAAGCCACTTCCTGGGTCACTTTGTTCAGGCAAGTTTTACCATTGACAAGAAGACCCTGTGAAAGGAAATACAAAACTTGAGCACAAAGAAATCACCTGTTGGTGAACACCTGTCTTGAAGAGCTGGGGACTAATAAGCTACAGTACTGCATGTTAGTGTGTTCACAGCTCTTCATGACAAACCATTTTATTCACACCTTTGCATGTCAGTGTCCAAGTTACTGAGCTGCTGCTCAACAACACGGTATATTTACTGTTCTGATGTATAAAATTCTCTAGCACTGTAACAGCAGGTCCAGAGAAGAGCAGCGAGGCTGGTGAAGGGACTCGAGCACAAGTGCCATGAGGAGAGGCTGAGGGAGCTGGGGGTGTTTAGCCTGGAGAAGAGGAGGCTCAGGGGAGACCTTATCACCCTCTGCAACTCCCTGACAGGAGGTTGGAGTCAGGTGGGGGTTGGTCTCTTCTCCCAGGCAACCAGCAGGAGGACAAGAGGGCACAGTCTCAAGCTCTGCCAGGGAAGGTTTAGGTTGGATATTAGGAAGAGATTTTTTATGGAGAGAGTAATCAGGCATTGGAATGGGCTGCCCAGGGAAGTGGTGGATTCACAGTCCCTGGAGGTTTTGTGGCACTTAGTGCCATGGTCTAGTAACCATGGTAGGGTGGGACTTGCTGATCTTGGACGTCTTTTCCAACTTGGTTGATTCTATGATTCTATGAACAGCTCTTGGTACCAGCAGTTTGGTTTCCAGAGCATTGAGACAGGGTGTGCTGTAGTTAGAATAGGCACAAAGAAATACTGCACCTGCAGCAGGTACTTTGTGGAGAAGGGCTGGAGTAAAGGTTTCTGGTGTCACCTCTTTCCTGGCAGGGCACAGTAGCCTGCAATGCATCATGCATCCAGCTGCACAAGAGAGCAGAGAGAGTGGCAGTTGGGCTGATGGAGAAGGGACGGCTGAATGTAGGTGACCACGTGGCCTTGGTTTACCCTCCAGGTAAGGCAATACAGACAGCAAAAATCACAGTCAGCACAAGAAGGGAAAGTCCTGTCCATGGAAACATATCCCTCCAGATTTAAAGTTTGTAGGGCTGGAATAAGTTTTGATAATTCTCAAATGCAAAACATCTAAACTTTGTGGAACTGGGCATGGCCAAGTGCAGCCTGTTGGTTTGAGGAGGCCCTTGTGACAAATCTTTACATCTTCATAAAATCAATCAGTGTGTCTTTTGATTTTGTGGAAGGTTTGGCCTATTGTTCTGATAAAAGTGGCTTTGATTTCACAAATATCCTTTACAGGAGTTGACTTGATAGCAACTTTCTATGGGTGCTTATACGCCGGCTGTGTACCCATCACTGTCCGCCCACCTCACCCACAGAACCTTGCCACCACTCTGCCCACTGTCAAAATGATTGTAGAGGTAGGTATGAGACACTCCTCTCTTCATGTGTTTGGGTAGTGCACAATGGTTGATGCAGCCTGATGAATTGCTTTGCCATACTCAGTGTAAAATAAACTCGGGGGGAAAAAAACCGGTATGCTGTGGCTGAGTCAATAATGACTTTTCTTCCAGAAACTTGTTTAAAATGTCTTTTTTTTTGTTGTGATTCATTTTGCTTTTTTTTTTCAATGTTTTTCTTCATCTATTCATCTTACTGGTTATCTCATGGGGATGGATATGACATCACTTGAACATGCATTCCCTGGTTTTATAAATGGTTTTAACACTGTGCCTTTTGCAGGTCAGTAAGTCTGCGTGTATACTGACCACCCAAGCCATAATGAAACTGCTCAAGTCCAAGGAGGCTGCAGCAGCTGTAGATATTAAAACATGGCCCACTATTTTGGATACAGGTACACTAGCCAAAATGGAAGTAGTTTGAAGAGTTTGTTACACTATAACTACCTGCTTGAGTGGATGTGTTGCGTGTTGCATTGAAAGAGATGTCCAGAAACTATAAGAAGCATCTGGTGATAATGGTGTAGAAGCACATTTTTTTGTCCTGTGCTCTTTTTCCATAATAATAATATGGTACCCTTCTCTTTCTATGTTTTGCAAATAGATGATATGCCTAAAAAGAAGCTGGCTAGTGTTTTCAGACCTGCATCTCCTGATATGTTGGCATACTTGGACTTCAGCGTGTCTACCACTGGTATATTAGCAGGAGTAAAGGTAGAGTTACAAGAGAGATGTTTCCTTACGTTTTGAAAGAATATGTGAGAACCTTTGCTAAAAGAAAAAGTCCTGAGAGCTCCTGGTTTTCCTTTTGCAGATGTCACACGCAGCTACAAGTGCCTTGTGTCGCTCAATAAAGCTCCAGTGTGAGCTGTACCCGTCCCGACAGATTGCCATCTGCCTGGACCCTTACTGTGGTTTGGGATTTGCACTGTGGTGCTTGTGCAGGTAAGTCACTGGAGCTGTGAGACTCCTCACATGTGCCCAGCTTTCTCCACGATCCCTGGGTGAATCTGCAGAAACCCAGCTGAACATTTTTATCTGTAGTTCAGTACCACCTTTTGTGGTAAGAAAATACCTGAAGTCAGTTAGTTACTTGAGTAACTTCAGGTTTACAAGGACTTCACTGTCTGTTTCACATTGGTTAAATGAATCCTTTTAAAGTCTTTTGAGATTAAACTATCTGTTCTGAGAAGACCTTTGAAGTGTTCACTGCATCCTGCAGTATGGTATGCACTGAGAAATCCTGCTAAAGGAAACAGGTAAATGTTCCTTAAAATTGCAGATGACACAAAGGTGGGGGGGA